TGCCGTTGGCGTAGGGTGGGGTGGCCAGGGCATCTAGCCATGGTGCCCGCAGGACGGATTTTGGCCCATGCGCTTCCCTCTTGCCCCCCCCAGAAGGGGCCCTTGTGCCTCCTCCCTCACCCTCGAACGTGTTGCATGACTCCCTCAGTGGCGTGCGATCCTCCTCTTCCTCCTCCTCCTCCTCCTTCCTCCTCCTCCTCCTCGTGCTCCTCCACCTCCTCCACCCCCTCCACCTCCTGCTGCTCCTGCTCCTCCTCCTCCTTCACCTCCACCTCGTCGTCCTCCGCTTTCCCCCCCCCCCCCCCCGTCCTCCCTCCCCCCTCGTCCTCTCTATTCCTACGCCTACTCCGCCTCCTCCTCCTCCTCCTCCTCCTCCTCGTCTTCCTCCTCCTCCTCCCCGTCCTCCCTTTCTCCTCCTTCTCCTCCTCCTCCTTCTCCTCTGTGTCCTCCTTCTTCTCTCCAGCATTTCTCCCCATATCCAAAGGATGGGTTTCTTGTTATTATCTGACCGTGCCGGGCCCCTGATCAGTATCCCATCCCTCCTTTCTCCGTCTCTGCACTAGATGTGATTATAGTGGTAATGGTGAATGATGGATGAGTTTGGTTATGATGATGATGATGATAGTGATGCTGATGATGATGGTGATGGTGGTGGGGATGATGATGAATGATCTTGATCATGATAATAAGGATGATGATGATTGTGATGATGATGATGATACTGATGCTGATGCTGATGCTGATACTGGTGCTGATGATTAAAGTGATTGTGGTGGTGGTGATGGTGATGATGATGCTGCTGATGATGATGATTCTGATTTGATGATGATGATGATGATGATGATGATGATGATGATGCTGATGATAATGCAGCTGATGATGAGCAGATGAGCAGGTGAACAGATGATGAGGATGTCTCGAGCGGCTTGCTGGTTGTAGCACTCCTAAGGGGTGGCGCCAGGGGGTATTTCACGGCATCCGTTCGCGCCGAAATGGCGGGGGTGCTTCGAGCGGTTTGCCTGTTTTGGTTGCGAATTTCTTTGTTTTCGGAGCAGGTGCTGATGATGTCTCGTGCGAGGCGCCTCTTAAGGAGGGGCCGCCAGGGGTATCTCACGGCCTTCCAGTCGAGGTTTCGGGCTGTCCGGATGATAGAGGCCTCCCAAATGGGGTCCGAGCAGATGCGCTCGCAGGGTCGTTCCGCATCGCCGACGCATTGTCGCCGCATCGGCGATGCACCGGCGACGCTGGCAATGCATGGGCGCCATCGGCGTGGAGAAAGTCGGGTTCCACATCGATGCGCATCGCCATTGTCGGAGAAGGAGGATGAGGAGGAGAAGGGAGAGGAGGAGGGGAAGGAAATAGAGAAGGAAAGGGTGGTGGAGGAGGAGGGGAGGAGGAGGAGGAGGAGGAGGAGGAGGAGGGAACTGGAAGAGAGGAGGAGGAGGAGGAGGAGGAGCATGAGGAGGAGGGGGCAGAGGAGCAGGAGGAGGCAGAGGAGGAGGAGGAGGAGGAGGAGGAGGAAGGAGGAGGAGGCGGAGGAGAAGGAGGAGGAGGAGGAAGAGGAGGAGGAGGAGGAGCCGGGGGGGGAGGGAGGAGGAGGAGGAGGCGGAGGGAAGGACGAGGAGGGGGTGGTGGAGGAGGGCAGGGGGGCCAGCGCAGAAGACAACCTTTCTTTTAATTCCCTCTTCAGAGGTCCTCAAAATAATTTGTTTTCATTGTAGAAAGTGACCCACCATAAGACAACCGAGAATCTTCAATTGCTGTCAACTCCAGAGCGTGCCAGACCACCATTCCTTGGACTTCGTCTCGGATCAGCGTGATTGTTGATCCCTGACAATTTCTAAATCGCACCAGAACGCAATTCTTAGGATGTTTCCCATACGAGTGCTTGAAGCTGCTGCAATACTTTAGGAGCAGTGTGCGCGGCGCGAAGGCGAGCGCCATACTTTTTAAATGAGCCGCCTTTTGAATCGGGCGTAATGTTCTAAGAAGAGTTTGCGCGATATGAAGGCGAGAGCCACACTATGAAAACCACCCGCCTCATATCCGTGATCCTGTTGCGAACTCTTGATATGAAAATGCTCGGCGCTGAGGCGAAAACCACATATTGAAAAGGGCCCGAAGTTGTGGCAAAGTTGTATGGCGAATGTGCGCGGTGCTACGGCGAGAGCCACATCTTGACAAGGAGCCGCCATCCATCCGTGAAGGTTTGCAAACTTGGAGACGAGTGTGTGCGGCGCGGAGGAGGAAGAGGAGGAAGCGGAGGAGGAGGAGCGAGCGAGTTGGTTAGGAGAACTCGGTCGGCGGGCCAGCCGCAGGTGTGGCCCAGCGGGAACTGCTACGACGGCGAGTGGGACAGCGGGAGCATGCGCGGCCAAGGTGGCCTGCGCCCTCTGGTACACGAGGGGAACGAGCAATGGCATAAACACAATAATTCGGAGGCCCGCGCGGAGTTCTCGGATTCGCGCCTCCGGCGCCACCCTTGGCGCGCTCCGCGCGTCCAGGGAGGGGGGCCAGCGCCGATCCGAGAGATCCGCGCGGACCTCTGAGTTTTTATGTTTATGTCATTCTTCGTTCCCCTACTGGTGGCAGACGGGTGCGGTGCGGAGCCTGGCGCGGGCGTCTGCAGTTTATCGGCACCGTTGCCCCTGGCTTGTTTTCGTTTTTGGGGGGCCTCCCAGGAGGCCCTCGTCGCCACCGCTGGGTACGCTTCAGAACCATTGTCAGAACGTACCCGGGAGAGGTCTTTGGAGTAGCGGAATCGGTACTTCTTGGTTTCCCCATCAAGTCCTTCTTTTTCGGTTGACGTGATAGCTGGAAGAGCGGTAGGCATTCTGCCTGGTAGCAGGAAGCGTTGTTGCGGTTGTCTTGGCAGATTTAGGACTTCAGGAGGCCCGACTAGACCAAGTTGCGAGAGCACGCGTGTTGAGCAGTGAGCGCATGGCGTACCCCATGAGGATGCGTATTCTACTTAGCACGCTTGAGGCGATTGCAGCTGAGAAGACAACTGAGGGACCCAGATCTTGCGTGAAGCAAGTAGGCCCCCGCCAGCCCTCCTGGGTCCTCATGTAGTTTCGTTGGTTCACGGTATGTTCTCACCGAGCGTGGACGTAGGTGTTCCTGATGTAAGGGGTCGCCCTCCCAGTCCCAGAAGATGGCTTGGCTGAGCTCTCCGTGTTTTCCGCTTGAGTTTGTTGACGGTGTTTGGGAGTTCCCTCGTGTGCAGCAGGTGCACATCTCAGGAGGGCTTGCGCACATGTTACACACCCTTAGTCATCACGCGGGGCTGGGAATTGGGTTTTGTGTTCTTTGTGGGCAGTTGTCCTCCGAGCATCTTTCTAAACTGTGCATTGAGTGTAATCCCAAGGATGGCAGTCGGAATGACAACCTTGCAGATATTAGTATGGGTAGATGGCCCAATCCATTCAGTCGAGCAGAGGAGGCCGAACCTATAGCCGCTGGCAAGTCTGTTTGAGGGGCCTGGGGCCAAGAGTATCCGACCTAGTCGGATTATCCGTAACTCCGTGACTCATTTCTCCTTCCCCCCCTCTTTCCAAAGCTCTGCACATTATGAAGACGACTCTCCTTTTGCCCCTGACTCTGTCCGTCAATTAGCCGGTTCTCTCTGCGTGTTGTGTTTGGCGCAGTTTTGGACAAAGGTGGTCGTTCCTACGTTTGTTGTTACCATCTGATTGTTGTCGGTGTTTCAAAATGGTGTTCCCGCTGCATCGTGGGTTTTGTTTCTTGGGTTGGCGACCCCCCCTTGTGGCGCCTCCAGGGAGGGGGGCCCAGCACCGATCCAAGAAATCCGCGCGGTCCTCCGAGAAAGTACGTATGTTGATGCAGTTGTTTCTGTTACTTCAGTTTGGTGAGTGAGTGAGGATTCGGGTTTTGGCTGCACGGTTTGGGAAATTGGGTGGGTCGTTCTCCAAATTTTCCCAAGGGCAGCAAATCAGGCATTTCCGATGGGAACATATATATATATATATATATACACATTTCCGGGACATTCGCTTTTCAGTCCTGACAGCGGCCGCGACGGCCCCAGGGACTCCCAAAATGGGCCTCAGACGGCCCATGAGGGCCCCAAGACGGGTTGAAGAGGGCTCCAAGTAGCACAGGGAGCTCCAAGACGGGCCCAGAGAGTCCCCAGGGGGCCCGAGGGGGCCATCAGAGGATCCCTACATGGTCGGAGAGGGTCCCACGAGGACCCCAAGACGGGCTCCGCTCCCCATGACGGGTCAAGAGGGACCCGGGACGGCGAAATGGGCCCCCAGACGGGCCAAACAAGGTCCCGAAGGACCCCCTCAAGACAGTCCAAAAAACCGCCGAGACGGTCCCACAAGGGCAGACAAAACAGCACTACTATGGAACAAGCTACATTTCCGAGATATTCGCCTCTTTTGTCTGATCGGCGGCCACGTCGGCCCCAAAGGCTCCCCAAAGCGGCCCCAGGGGCCCCCCAAAGGGCCCCAAGACGGCCTCAAGAGAGCGTCGAGCAGCACAAGGGAGCTCCAATACAGCCCAAGAGAGTCCCCAGGGGGCTCGAGGGGGCCACCAGAGGATCCCTACATAGTCGGAGAGGGCCTCACGAGGGCCCCAAGACGGGCTCAGCTCCCCATGGCATGCCAAGAGGGACCCGGGACGGCCGAAATAGGCCCCCAGACGGGCCAAACAAATCCCAAACGGATTCACTCAAGTCGGTCCAAGAGGCCGCCGAGAGGGCCCGACATTGGCAAACAACAGCATTCCCCAGGGAACAACGTATATGTTTGGGACATTTGTTTTTTCAGTCCTCAGCGGCCATGTCGGCCCCAAAGGTTCCCAAAATCAGCCCCCGACGGCCCCAGAGGCCCCCAAGAGGGCCCCCAGACGGCCTGAAAGGGAGGTTCAAGCAGCACAAGAGAACTCCAAGACGGCCCAAGGGAGCTCCAAGACGGCCCAAGAGTGTCCCCAGGGGGGGGCCGAGGGGGCCACCAGAGGATCCCTACATGGTCGGAAGGGGCCCCATGAGGGCCCCAAGATGGGCTCCGCCCCCCATGACGGGCCAAGAGTTACCCAGGACTGCCGAAATGGACCCCCAGAAGGGCCAAAAAAGACCCCAAAGGATTCCAAAGGAAGGCCCGGAGAGGCCCCAAACACTCCCACAATGCTTCCAAAAGGCTCCCGGCACACGGTCCAGTAGGCCCAGAGGTCCCGTAGTGGGGGCCGAGTGTGAATTAATCTGAGTGTGAATGAGTCGGAGTCCTCCTCCTCCTCTTGGCTGCCCCCGCCAGGGGCCCACCAGGGCCTCGCAGACCAGGACGTGGCAAGCCGGGCCTTTGCCAGGCCTCCTGGGGGAAGACGAGCGAAGACCTTAGAATGTTTCGAATCGGCGGCTGCAGTTCTCTGTGGCGCCTGCGCGCACAGGGCTTTTGCCAGTGTCCCTGTTGCATTCGCGGCTGCAGTTGTTCTGGGCGATTGCGCCCATCGTCATGGCTTTTGCCGACGTCCCTGTTTCATTCCGGGGCCCTGAGCCCAACGCCTCGAGGTACGCTGCGATGGGTGCAGATCCGATCTGAGCCTATTTTTGCTGGCGACGCGTTGCGCACGCCAGCAGCATTGCTGCGGAATCCCCGCGCGCGTGCGGCGCAGCGCGCGGGCAGGGCACGATGATGGGAGTACGCTCCGCCCCCGCCCCCCCGACAAGGGACCATGTCGTGGACCACCGTGGCCGGCCAGGAGATGTACTCCGGCTCCTGGGAGGACGGCGCCCGGCCGGGGCAGCTCTCAGGATGGAACACACACACACACACACCAAAAGTCGTCGATTTCCTGGAGAATCTGGTAAGATATGGGAGGTGGGGGGGAGGGGGAAATGAGGGGGAATCCTGGGATTTGCGCGTGTGTGTGCGTGTGTGTGTGTGTGTGTGTGTGTGTGTGAGTGAGTGTGTGTGGGTGTGGGTGTGGGTGTGGGTGTGGGTGTGGGTGTGGGTGTGGGTGTGGGTGTGGGTGTGGGTGTGGGTCAAGCTAGCCAGCTCGAGCGAGTCAAGCATGGCATGCCTATTCCCACCCGCCCTCCCACAACATAAGAAACAGTGATGGCACAACTGGGGGCTGCGCGGGCATTTCAGTGTCGCAGGTCCCAGAGCGCTGACTTCCAGGTCCCAGAGCGCCCCAGGAACGCCCCAAGAGAGCCGAGACGCCCCCGAGACGATTCGAGGGGCCATGAGTCGCCGAAAGATCGTTCCAAGACGCCCAAGATGGCCTCCAGACGGCCGCAGACGCCGCCAAGAAACCGCGGGGAGCCTCAGGAGGCCCTCCAAGAGCCTGGACAAGCAAAAACCTCCCAGGCATTCGTCACCCCAGGGCCTCCTGGAACGCCCCGGCGCCCAATGAACTGGCGAGCTAAAAACGTGCGCCGAGCCAAAGCGGGAGCGCAACTGTGAGAAAATTTCGCTCGGCGCCCAGGCGGGAAGGTCATTTCATTCATCTCGAGCGGGGGGGGGTGCCGCGCCCAATTCTTGCCAGGCACTTCTGCGGGGTGGACGACAAGAACAGCTATGTGGGCAGGGAAAATCAGCATGGCATTGTTTCTGACAAGTAAGGTGGCCCCTCCCGCTTTGGGGTTGCCCCAGAAGTCCGCGCGCGAAGTGCGCCGCGCCCCATTCCTGCCACGCATTTCGCATCGTCGACGACAAGACAGGCCATGATGAAAGGAAAAAAAGGCAACTCTGCATTGTTTTTTACAGTTAGGATGGGAGGGCCCGCGGCCCGCATGGACGTCCGCGCGCGATGTGCGCCGCGTCCCATTCCTGCCACATATTTCGCACCGTCGGCGACAAGGCAGGCCATGCTGAGAGGAAAAAGCGGAGACTTTGTATGGATATTTTACAGTCAGGATGGGCGGGCCCGGATTGACGGCCGCGCGCGATGTGCGCCGCGTCCCATATGTGCGCCGCGTCCCACTGCTGCCACATATTTCGCACCGTCGGCGACAAGGCAGGCCATGCTGAGAGGAAAAAGGGAAGACTTTGTATGGATTTTGTACTGTCAGGATGGGCGGGCCTGCCGCGCGCGATGCGCGCCGCGTCCCATTCCTGCCACGTTTTTCGCATCGTCGACGGCAAGCAAGACAACGTTGAGAAGAAAAACGGCCACTTTGTATTGATTCTTTACCGTCCGGATGGGAAGTCCCGGATTGGGTTGCTATCGGCCGGAATACGACGCAGGTGGGGGTACATAGTAATACGGAACAAGGATGTGTGTGTGTGTATGTGTGTGTGTGTGTGAGTGTGTGTGTGTGGGGGGGGGGGGGTATGTGTTTATTTGTGTGTCCCGGGGCCCCTTTCAGCAGCGCAGAGGGGGCGGGCCGCCGCGCAGCGGCCACCGCCGCGCAATCGCGGCTTTCGCCCTAGCGGCCCTGCGCGGCGGCTGCGCGCCTCGGGGCCCGGTGGGAGGGGATGCGCCTCGAGTTGTGGCGCCAAGACCGCCCACTTCCAACGGGCTGCGCCACATCGGAGGCAGCACTCGGCACCTCCGCCCCTTCCTCCTCCATCTCCTCCTCCTCCTCCTCCTCATGCCACCGCTCCTCCTCCTATTTGGAGTGACGCCTCCTGCGGGGATCGGTGGAAGCAGAAAGGAGCGATGCCCACGAGTGTGACACCGCTGAGTGACTATCCCTCGCTGCTGCAGCCGGCCAGGGATGTAGAGGACGAGGAGGGCTTTTCTTTTCAATGATTGCAATCGTGATGAGCAAGCTCATCAGCCTGATGCGCAAGGGGTCAGGAGGTACATCTTGCACAGACATGTCTCCATACATTGCCCTGCAATCGATATATCAGGCTGACACGAAAGTATGAGGTACACGAGTCTGGCGGCGGCAAAGCGTGCTAGAGCGATGTGCGATCGTGCTCCTTCGCCGTTTTCGTTTGTCTTTCCCTCTACCCCCTCCCTTCCCTCTCTCGCCATTACTTGTCCTCTTCGCGTTTGTGCCGCCTCGTTATCTGTCCTGGATGTGCATTTGCCGCGCTTCCCAGCAGCGTGCTTCCGAGTGGAAAGTGAGGGGGTCCAATAGTCTACGTCGCTCCCTGGATCTTCTGATGCCCATCGTTTCGTCTTGACTACGCGGTGCATCGTGCAGCCGCGCGAGACTGTTACTTCCAAGATTTGAACGACGCCCTCGTATCAAAGAGGCCTACTGCGATCTTCCGCCGGCACCTGCCTTTTGGGATATGCTGATGTTGCCAAACGTTAAGGCAAACTTTGACTACACTATTGGACAATGTGGTCACCCATGCGTTGTGGAAGCCCTTCGGGGAACACGTGTTGGAGGAAGAGGAGGATGAGGAGAGGGAGGGTAAAGGAAGATGAGGAGAAGGATGAGAAGAGCTCTTGGGAGCTTCTTGGGCCATTCGTGGGGCCTCTTGGGAGCTTCCTGGGTGCTTCCTGGGGCCTCCTTGGGCCTCTTGGGGGTCTCTTGGGGTGTTTTGGGGCTTCTTGTGGGTCTCTTTGGCCGTCTTACAGCGTTCCTGGCCCGCCTGGCGCCGTCGGATCCGTCGGATGCCGTCTTGGGAGCCTCCCTGGGCCGACTTGGGGCTTCTTCGATCGCTTCAGGGTCGTCTTGACGGCCGTCTTGGGCGTCTTGGAGGCCCCTTCGGCCGTCTCCGGCCCTTGTGGGGGCCGTCTTGGGAGTCTTTGGGCAATATTGGGGGCCTCCTGGGCCGTCTTGGGCTGTCGGAAGGCCGTTTTGGAACAAATGCCAAGCCTTATGTATGTCGTCTTGGAGGCCTATTGGGCCGTCTTGGAGGGGCTTCTTGGGCCGTCTTGAGCCATCTTGAGGCCATCTGAGGCTATCTTGGATACATCTTGGGCCATCTTGGAGCCACCTTTACTCTTTGGCTCTCTTGGGGCCATCCGGGCCGTCTTGGATGCTATATTAGCCGTCTTGCAGGCCATCTTGGAGCAGTTTTGGAACCAGAAAGCCACGCTCCGTGCCACTTCGCAGACATCTAGCACGCCGTGCACCCTTGTGGCAAACCACAGGGGCGGCGGAAGCGGTGCACGAAAAGCGCGCTTCGCGTGCTCTCCGTTAGTCGGTAGAAGTACATCAGGGGAGAGTGAGGGGGATGGCAGCCGCGAAGCCAGATCTGATGTCATTTTGGACGATGTCGGGGCAATCTTTGGGGCCTCTCGGGCCGTTTTGGATTCTGGGAAGTCTGTTTTGAATCAAATGCCCAAATACTTCAAACACTGTGCATCAGTGATTGGGGCCTCCTCGGGTCTTCTGGCGGATCTCTTGGAAGCGTCTTGGGCCGCCCTAAAGGCCTCCAGGAATGCCCGAAGAGGTCGCGTCTTGGTCTGTCGGATTGCCGTTTTGATGCAGATGCCACAATATTCCAACCACCTCGCCCAAATCAATGATTTCGGCATATTCTGACTTTCCTGGATGACCTCTTGAGGGGCCTGCAGGGGGCCCGAAGAGGCCACGTCTTGGGCTGTCGGATTGCCGCTTTGAAGCAAATGCGACAGTCCTCCAAGCATCTCATGCAGATCAACGGTTTGGGCATATTCGGACCTTCCTGGAGGACCTCTTGGAGACATCTTGGGTCGTCTGGGGCCTGAGCCCATCTTCGCTGTCTTGGAGGCCATTTCGGGGCTACCTTGGGCTCTCTCGAGGCCACCTTGGCAGCCTTGGAGGCATCTTGGAGGCAATCTTGGGCCATGTTGGCCGTCTTGGAGGCCGTCTTGGGGCGATCTTAGTCTTTCTTGTGGGCAACTTGGCAGTCTTGGAGATCATCCAGGCCATATTGTAGATATGTGTGGGGAATCCACGGGCACTTCGGGTGGCCGGCGGGTTGGGCCGAGACCCGACTAAGAGTTCTTCGGGCAAGAGCCAACACATTGCCAGACGTTCAGCACGCCGTGCACCCTTGTGATGAACCTGCTTCTCCTTCTCATCGCTTCTCCTCCCCCCTCATCCTCGCTCCGCCTCCTCTTCCTCCTCCTGCTCCTGCTCCTGCTCCTCCTCCTCCTCCTCCTCATCCTCCTCCTCCTCCTAGTCATCATCATCATTATTCTCGCTCCGCCTCCTCGTTCTGCTCCTCATCCTCATGCTCGCTCCGCCTCCTCGGCCTCCTCCTCCTCCTCGTCCTTCTCGTCCTCGCTCCTCGCTCCTTGCTGCTCTTCGCTCCTCGCCTCCTCGCCCCTCGCTCCTCTTCCGCCTCCTCGCTCATCCTCATGCTCCTCATCATGCTCGTTCACGTTGCTGCTGCTGCTTCTCCTTCTCCTCCTCGCTCCGCGCTCCTCCTCTTCTCCTCCTCCTTCTGCTCCTCCTTCCCATTGCTCCTCCTCACTCCTTGCTCTCGCTCCTCGCTCCATGCCCCTCCCTCCTCCTTGCACATCCTCCTCCTCCTCGCTCCTCCTCGTTCCTCGTTCCTCCTTGCTCCTCCCTCCTCCTCCTCCTTCTCCTCATCCTCGCTCCTCAACGATCTTCCTCGCTCCCCCATCACTTCTCGACCTCATCCTCCTCCTCCTCCTCCTCCTCCTCCCACATCGCTCCTCCTCATCCTTGCTCCTCGCTCCTCCTCGATCCGCTCATCGCTCCTCCTCGGTATTCAGTCCTCGCTCCCGTTCATCAGTTTCGTTCTCCTTCTCGCTCCTCCTCCTCCTCTAGTTCTCCTCCTCCTCATCGCTCCTCTCTCGCCCCCTCCTACTAGTTCTCCTCCTCGTCCTCCTCCTCTTCCTCCTCTTCCTTCCCATCGCTTCTCCTCCTCGCTCCGCCTGCTCGCTCCTGTTCCTTCTCGCTCATCCTCGTTCCTCTTCCTCCTCTCCTACTCCTCCACCTCCTCCCTCTCCTACCTCCTCCTCCCCCTCCTTCTTCTCCTCGTCAAGACCGAGATGGCCCAGAAGGGCCCCAAGAGGGCCCTACATGAGGCCACGTAGAGCTTCTCAGAAGGCTGGGGAAATCCTCAGAAGCCCCGAAGCCTTGGGAGGGGCTGTCCCATTTCGCTTCAAGGACTTCGCATCTTCCAAAACGCCATAACACCTCTCGGCTCCCGAGTGGCGTTTGGGCGTCGTGGAGGCCCTTTTGCAGGGCTCATTTAGATTCCTCCGTTCCGATACGATTCGATTTCGATGGCTTCCGAGTCCGATTTGAATCGACTTCGGACTCCGATTTGGGCTCTGATCTCTTAATGGAGGCCTACGAGCCTGCCGACTTCTGCCGAATCTACTTTGCCCGACTCGGCTACCGATCTCCGCCGATCCGATTGATTTCGATTCCCGATCCGACTAATCGATTCGACTCTTGGGGCGCCTGTTTGTGGGCCTGCAGGAGCGCCCTTCGTGTCCGCGCCGCCGCCTGATCACGCCTCGAGATCCCAGGTCGTAGAGCGCGTCCTACCTGTGGGGGGGGGGCCGCGCGCCGCCGATACCGTATCTGACAAAGAGAGCCTCGAGTGGGACCCTGGCAGGAGTGGATCGCTCCACGGCGTTCCGGAAGGCTCTCAGAGCGTTCCCGAACGCCCCGAGGAGGGGCCGCGGCGCCCGACACATCATCCAGAGCCGCGGACCTCAGAGGTCCCCGAGGTGCCCTGGTCCGATTCTGTCCCTGTCCTGGCCTCGTCTTGGGTGAGCGGGAGGAGGACGGCCGTGCGCGGTTGCCACGGGAGGGGAGAGGAGGAGGAGCTCTCGCGGCAGCGCGCGCCCTCGCGCACGGGCCAGGAGAACAATCCGCACGGCGCACCGCCCCATGGGTGGGCAGGATGGGGCGGGGGACGGCGGCAGCAAGCGCGTGGAGGACGGGGAGGTGGATGTGGAGGTGGTGGGGACGGGGGCAGTGGCGGCGGGCAGGATCTGGAGCACAGGGCCTCCCCCTTTCCTTCCATCCATCCACATCCGCTCTCAGATGTGCGCATGTGCGTGTGAGAGCATCAATTTGATGCATGACTGTGTGTGTGTACGATCATGTACATCTTTATATGTGCATAGAGAATAAAAAAAAGAGAAAGAGAGATAGAGAGAGAACCCCGGAATGAATGAGGGAGAGTGAAAGAGAGAGAGAGAGAGAACTGGTACGTTCTTGTCTGGGCTCATGTAAAAGGCATGCAGGGGCACCGATGGGGTTGCAACGTCTTGCGATTAGGCGATGTTATGTGAGAAGCACCCCTGTGGACACGAAGAAACATATGTTCGAACAATCTTGGACACTGGCAACCAAAGAAACACGTTTGTTTGTTGTTTGTTTGTTTTTATTGTCACTGCGAATGCCTCACGGCCGGTGCCGCCGACCCTCGAGGGGATGGGGACGACGACGACGACGCTGACGCTCTGTAGCTCTTTGTGGGGCCCTCTCGGGAGCCTCCTGGGCCATATTGGGGGGCCTCCTGGAGGACTTCTTGAGAAGCCCTGTGGTAACTTGGAGCCGCTTTGGAGCGGATCTGAGACCTCTTGGAGGCATGTGGGAAAATGCGCAGCTCCCAGCACCAGCAGACAAAAGTGAGGAGGGTGCCTCCAGGGGGGGGGATCGGGAGAAGGAGGGAATGGTTGTCCCGCTGTCCATGGAGGGAGCGGGGGGGAGCTTCCTCTGTCCTTGCCCAGAGGGGGGTGGCCCACTGGTATAAAAAAACGCGTTTGTCTGTTATTGTCACGTGCAAAGTTTCAATATTGGCTACAGAGCTATACCGGAAACAATTGAACAAGCAATGGTTTTCTAACAAGCATGTGCAATATTCTGGGAATACTTTGTGTTACTGAAGGTGCCATGCCATCTTGTCAATGATTTTTGTTTGTTTGACCCCCACGTCACGATCTGCGTGAGGAGGGCGCCAGATGTTCAGAATGTTGAGTATGATCCAAGCGGGACGGCCAGACAACGCGCGAGGCGCTTCACCAATAATCGCCTCTGAACTCTACTCCTTCGGAGAGGTGCGTGTGATGATACGCTATATGTGCGCAGATATGTGAACACATGTACGCATGTACGGATACACGTTTCCCAGCGTTGACCCCAATCATCGGTTTATCGCACTCTCGGGGTGAGTTCTAGGCTGTAAATTGTATGAGATACACTCAATGTCGTGAAATATTCAGCTGCATGCTGCATGCGGCAACTTCCGCCACTGTGACAGCCCAGCATTATGGTCTTCGATTGTCCGAGGGGGGCACGGGTGGCCGTGACGTAGGACACCTCATGCCCCTTTCCCAGGTTTTAGAGAGCCTTGATAAGGATGAGGTTTGTATTGATGATTGTGATTATGTTGATGCTAATGAAGATGATGACGCTGATACTGATGATGGTTATGATGCTCACGATGCTGATACTTATGCTGTTGATGATGATGTTGATGTTGCTGATGCTGCTGCTGATGTTGATGACGATGACGATGCTGATGCGGATGATGATGATGCTGATGGTGCTGATGATGCGGATGATGTTGCTGCTGATGATGATGATGACGATGACGATGACGATGACGATGGCGACGGCGTCGGCGACGGCGACGACGATGATGTTGATGCTGATGATGCTGATGCTGTTGATGATGCTGAGGAAGAGGAGGTGGAGGAGGAGGAGGGGCAACGACCGGAGGATCAGGAAGAGCGCGAATGTGCTTTGACATGTGACACCTTTCATATTTGCTTTTTGTGGAGCTCCCACGGGGCTCATTTGGACAGTCTCAGGGCTCGGCTCCTGTGGGGCAGTCGTGGGTGTCCCTTTGGGCCGCCGTGGGGTCATCGTGGGCCACCTAGATTGCCCCTTAGGCATTATTTCGGCGCTCTTGGGCCGTGTTGGCGCCATCTTGGCCGTATGGGGAGTAGATTGGGGCCGTCGTGGGGCCGTGGTGGCGTTGTCTTGCGTCATCGAAGATCTGTCTAAGGCAGTCTTGGGTCTCTCTGGGGGTCCTGTTGGTCATTCTTCTTGGAGGCTTCTTGGGCCATTGTGGGGTCCTCTCGGGCCGCCTTGGGATCCTCTTGTGGGCATCTTGGGCAGTCGTTGTGCCACGTTCGAGGCTGATTGGGCCGTCTTGAACTGACAAAAGCTCGAACATCTGAGAATGCGACACTCATTCAAATACTGACGGGGACTTCTATATGAGTTTGGTGTCGTCGGAGAGCTTGCGGAAGGCAAAGGCAGGGAAGGGAGGAGGATGGGAAGGGAGGAGGAAGGGGAGAAGGAAAGAAGGAGGAACGCGGGGACCGTCTCTTCAAAACGTGGACCCAACACCACAGGATGGTTGGGGGAACAACACTAAATAACCAAATCAGTCAACGTCAAGGAACATGAATACTTTTGGCCTCGTCAGGCTTTCCTAGAGGACCTCTTTGGGGCCTCTGGGCCGTCTTGGAGGCCTCCTGGGGGCCTCTTGGGCCGTCTAGGGCCATCTTGGAGCCATCTCGGGTCGTCTTGGTAGCTTTTTTTGGCGGGCTTGGAGGCATTTGCACCTTCTTGGGCCGCCTTGGAGGCCATCTTGGGACCATCTTGGGCGAGCTTGGGGGCCACCGTGGGCTGTCTTGGGAGGATGTGTTGTGGACGTTGAGGTTGTTTGCGCTCTTTCCGCGCGGCTGGCGCGCTGTGCCAAAGGCCCCAGGGAGAGCTTCCACAAGAAGCAACAACCACTAGAGCCTAAAAGCTGAAGCTACTGCCTGCTAGACTTGTTAAAGTGTCAAGTATGGCAAAACGCTCTTCTACACGCAAGTCTTTTGGTCCTGGCCGACGCGCTTGACCTCGAAGTGGCCCAGGTCTGTGCTGGACGTGAGTTTTTGAACGAGCGAGGACTGGCCGAGGGCGTAGGACAGGGAGTCAGCATCCCCAACGCTGTCGACGAGGAACTTCGCCGATTCCGCCAGCTCCTTCCACCTCGTCCTCCACTTCCAGCCTCCGCTCCTGTGCCTCCTGAACCTTCTCCTCGTACGTGTTGCTCTGTTGCACTCCCTTCGGAGCGCGCGCCACCGGCTGCCGTCCACCTCCACGCCCTGCTCGATTTTGAGGCCTATGCAGGTGTCGCTCTTGATCTGCTTGAACGTGGGGTCCGCGGGTGGCAGCTCCGAGTCCTTCGCACCGGCCCGCTCGACGTCGTCCGACTAGCCGTCGACGTCGCTGTCGCATTCCTCGGTCTCCTCCAAGTCGTTCTCGTTACCCGTCATGCGGATGGCGAGAGGCTCCAGCGCGAGAGAGCGTGTCTCCAGAGAGGCGTGGAACACCTGCACGACCTCGCCCACCGACAGCCACCTCGTCCAGCTCGTCGTTTCCCTCGGTCGCCTTCGGGCAATCTTCCAGGCCGCGCCACCTTGTACATGCCGAAGCCTGGCCATTGCCCTTGCCGAAGTAGTAGCCGCCAGCCTTCACGTTGTCCACGGCGGCCACCACCGGCTTCACCTCGGACGCTGGATCCACGTGCGACGTCATGTCGTTGTCGGGTTCCATGATGGTCGCCGTCGGTTTCACATTGGCCGCTTCGCTGAAAGAGCCCTTGCCCTTGCCGAGGTAGTAGCACTGGTTTAGCAGACTGCCCGTGCTATCGTCCTCGGGGTCATCCCTCACGTGGAGGCCTGCACCCAGGAACCCCTTGAGCTCCGACAGGCTGCTGTACGGGGTCGCCCTGGAATGGACCATATGCAGGATGTGCTCCAGCATATCTTGCCCCTCAGCTCCCACATACTCATTGACCTTCTGTTTTACCCAAGACCGCAACCTCTTCTCGATGATCTTTGTGCCCGACTACGTTGTACCAGTCGATGCTATAGGCGAAGACGTTCGACTCGTGCGTGGGCACCTGCAGGATCAGGTGGCGCAGCTCGTCGATGCTCGTGCCGAACTGTGCGCCCACCTCCTGCTCCGGCAGCTTCCTGATCTCTCTATCAGTCGCTCGCACCGTGCGAGTCGGGCGGTGCCACGCCGGTTCTGGGAGGGCACTCGCATTGGCGCGCCGGAAAAGGCTGCTGATGCAGCCAGGCTCGCCGGCAATTCAATGGGAAAGGCCAGTTCGGTCCGTTTGCCCCCTTACGGGCGCAAGCAACCGCTTCGGCCAAACGCCTCTTCCTCTTCCTCCTCCCAGAGGGATCATGAGGCTTCCAACGTCGCCGAGGATGTCTCGAAGACTGCCTCAGAGGCCTCCATGACAGTACAGGAGGCCTCCCAGGCGCCCCCAGAGGCCGAGGCCTCCCAAGAGGGCCCCAAAAGGCAAACGCCATTTTTTTTTTCCCCCACCGTCCTATGGTGCGTCTTCACTTTGAAGAGCTTTGTGCAGGCGCTGTTTGGAGACCAAGCACCTCAGGCTTTTCGATGATTTGATCTCCGGGACTGGCCCCAGGGCCCCCAGCAGTCACAAGATGCGCCCAAGAGGGCTCCAAGACAGGTGGGGCAGGCTCGGAAATCGTCCGAAGCCATGCTGGCAGTAGAAAGCCCCGACCACGCTCCCGCGGCTTCTGAAAGAGTCCCGCGTGCCGCCCTGGAAGCGACCAGGAGCGCCCGAGAATGCGGGCCCCGGGCACCCCCAGGGAACTCGAAGGGACCTGGGGGCACTCCACTCAATACTTACGGCGCTGTGGCGTATATACGATTCCCGGTCGCGAGTTCACCAGCCCCCTCCTTCATGGGATTGGTCCCAGGGTTTTCCCTGCCCCCCGATCCTCCCCCCAGATGTGATGAGGGGGATGACGACGACGCCGACGACGACGACGTCGCCGACGACGACGCCGACGACGACGACGCCGACGACGACGCCGACGACCACGACGACGACGATGTGGACGACGATGACGAAGACGACGAATGTGACGAAGACGACAATCTCTAGGTCTCCCGGAGGCGAGTCTCCGTGCGCTGGAAGGTTGCAGCCGTCCAGCTCCTTGAAGCAACATCCTGCCGCACGCACTCACACCCACGGGGCACCGCAGCACCACACCACGCCCACAGCACCACACGGCACCCACAGGGGAGATATCGGCGGGGAGGGGAGGGCGATCCCATTGTATGTTATTTGGGCCTGCCCTGGACCATACGCTCCCTTTTCCCTCCTCAGGGCGTTGGCTTTTTGTTGTCCACGCCTCTTTGCCACCCCCTCCCTCCTTGACCTGTGCTCTCTCCGTTTCCCCGCTCTGCGTCTTCGCTCCTGGGCGTCCCTCCCCGCCGTCCTAACTACTTGCTCCCCTCTTAAATTCCCTTTCTCTGTGTCGTGCTGTTTCCCGGTCTCCCGCGTTCCCTAAGTTGAGACGACGACCACGACGGCGACGACGAACATGTCACGATTCGATACAGAGAGACAGACAGAGACGACGACGACGACGACGACGACGATGACGTGAGTGTGTCCAGACATTTTCGCGTCGTGGCAAACATCGCGACGGGAGGTGTTTGGCAGTGTTCGTCCTCCAGGGGCCCTCGCCTGGCGCCAGGACCGACAACAAGATGAAAAACATGTCCCGGGGAGAGGGCCGGCACTTCCAGGGGCCCCGCCTTGAACAACTCTGGCTATCGCATGTTCTGTTCTGCGGACGACTTGTGTGCACCATACCGCGGCGGCGTCTCCCGAGGCGTCGTCGATCTTGGACCAGGGAACGGTACGTTGCATAGCTTCTCGGCCCTCAGAGCGGAAAAGTTATGCACCGTACCGCATGGGAGCGAGGCTTGAAGGGAGTCCAAGCATGGTACGGGGCATGAGCGCCGTTCTCGCACGGTCGGACCGAGGTAGAAGGTCGAGGTTGGTTCGGGGAGGGATCCCTGCTGTCCTTCATGCTCGTGAGACCTTCTTGTGCATCCTGGGGGAGGGTGCCCTCGAGCGTGCTTCAGTTTGGCCGGCGGAGGGTCTCGTGCTCTTGAAGGTTACCAGCCTGGAACATATCCCTATCCCTATGCTGGGCACCTCCTCATCACGATGCCAATCTCAGGGATTCCCTTAGTTTTTGAGGGCGAATCCCTAAGATTGTCATCGCCTCTTGGCGTGTCAATCTTAGGGATAGGGATACGTTCGAGGCTGGTAAGAAGGGTGTGCTTCTCTGTCCCAGGTCCGGCTGTGTCGTGGGAGGCGGCACGTCCGCTCTTCGCCGCCCCGCCGCTCACGGCCGGGGTCGGGCGGGAACGGAGTGGCCAGGGCCCCGCTCGCCCTGCCCCTGCAGCTTCCTGCTTCCACTCCTCGCCCCTCCTCCTCCCGTCCTCGGCATCGCTCGGACGTGTGCACGTTTCCCGGCGAGGGCAATCGGAGAGCACCCTGAACATCGAGCAACAAGCCACGCGCGAAACCGAAGAAGGCATGGGGGAATGGACGTCCGAGCGATGGTGGCAAGTGTCAGGGCTCGACCTAGACGCGATTTCGTGGACCGTTTTGACTTCGTGTTGCAGCGAAGGCGGAACGAAGACGGAACGAGGGACACCAATAATCAATTGAAAACGGACAGCACTTGCTTGGTCGTTCCTTGTTTCTTGTCCTCCGAAAGGGCTCTGGGGATACATCTGAGAACGTCTGCCGCCGTTGGGGCCCCACCACTTGCAGTCAAAAGGTGAAACTGGAGCTGAGGTCCACTTCCGGCACAGGAAGTGCCGTCGTTCTTGAGCCGCTCCTCAGACTGAGGCCGCCGAGTCTCGCCGTGGCCAGAAACGCCCCTTCGCTCCCGATTCAGCGATCCCCATGGCAGCACGTGGTTTGTAAACCCTGGCCCCCGACGGAGCATCCAAGAATATCACACGAGCGCAGCGGCTCCTGCGCTCCCCAGGCGAGGGCACCCACACGTGGTGCACGCCGGCGGAGCCAGCGTCGCCGCGCGGGCTCAACGATTCCGTGGCGTCCTTCGGCATGGGCGGCACCAGGAGGCCGCGCCGCCACGGGCCGAAGTCTCTCCGACGATGTGTTTGAGCATCGTTTAGCCGACCCCCATCCCCAGCGGCGTGGCCCAGTGGCCGACTTACCCCCCCAGATGGGGATAAAGGCCGTTTCCTTCGGGTTTCGAGGGGCGTAGCTCCAACTGGGGTGGCAATTTGGTGGGGGTCTTGAAGGAGATGAGGATGGGGATGGGGGTCGGTTAAACAATACTGAGTGTTTGTCTCTCGCTCAGAGGCCAAAATGGAGGAAGCGCGCCCGGATCAATCCGGGCGTGCTTCCTCGATCTCGGCCCTTGGGCGCCGTTCTTGGGCCCTGGGGCCAGCCAATATAGATCCCGAAGAAAGTCTACCCCTGGGGAAGGGGTCGGAACCCTGGGAGCCGCACGCTGAGTTGTTCTGGCGAAGAACCCAGAATCATGTGCAGCTGCGAGCGCCGCAAGACGGGTGAGATGGATAGGGGGCCACATGCGAACCCTACCCCTACCCCCCACGATTTCCGAGGGGTGGGGTGGGGTTCACTTCGCTCGGGAGCTCCCGAACGAAGCGAACCGCACCCTCCCCCTCAGACATCGTGGGGGGTAGGGGTAGGGTTCGCATGTGGCCCTCTAATGGAGGAGGGGGGCAGGCACCGCATAGGGACCCTGCCGCCAGGCCGCCAGTGGGGCCAGGACATGCGTGAGGGGTGTGCCGAAGGGGCGCGGTGGTGCCATGCGGTTCTTGGCACCGGGGCCTTGGGCCTTCAGTGGAGCTCCATTGTGGGGCCACGGAGCGTGCGAGGGGTGTACCGAGAATGGGCGCAGTGGCGCCACGCGGACCCTGCCGCCTTGGCCTTCGGTGGAGCTCCATGTGGGGTCACGAAGCGTGTGATGTGTGTGTGCGTGTTTTTATTTGTACCAATCAGAAGATAGCACTGCTATGTCAGTCTTTGTGGGAAGCCCTTCGATTGAATTCGGGCAATTAAAATCGAGCTTGAGTTTAGTTGGTATGCGCACCGTCTGCACACATGCTCTGTTTGGATAGCCGTTTTCTCTCGGAAGACGTTGCGGGTTTAGGCCAGAGCTCAAGCCACCACCAGGCGGCGCAAACGATCGTGGGCTCGCGATGATTCGTTGACTATTGAATTTTGATGTTTGCTGGAACGTGGTCTCTGAGCACTCTCTCTGAGTCTCTGTTGCTGATGTTGGGTATTCCAGATATCCGATGC